TTTGAAGTGATTGGATTCTACACATTGCTTTGTTGGCATAGTAAGGATTGGGTTATGGGAACTAATGAGAAATTGTGATTAATTGTAAGCAAAGGCTGGTTAAAGATGCCGGAGAAACAGAGAGTGAACTGAGGATTGCCATAGCTGATTGATTTTAGCTAAATGACTAAGGAATAAAATTTAGCAGAATGTGTTTTTTGCCATTGAGCTGAGTCTTCCCAAAATATCCAGTTAGCAACCAACAGCTTTCTTGATCACTGGTTCTTACCCTTTGCAAAGAAGAAGGAACACAAATACTGTAGTGATATTTCTCTGGATTTCCTGCCAATAGAAAACATGATTATGGGAAAATGTTTTTCTTTTTTTTTCCTTCTGACATACACTTTTCCACTGTTACCCTATTTATTACGCAGGACTGGACAGAAATTCCAAATTATTGTTTTATAGTTTCCCAAAACCTGATCACATCACATCTTACTATATTTTGCATTTGTATTCTCTTCCATAACATCTTTATTATATATTAAAACTCACATTTTTTAGCAAAATGCATTATTTCTCAACTAAATCTTGCTAATTAATAAGACCTGAAAAATTGACCTCAAAGAGGAGGATTGAGAGACGATAGGAAAGCAATCAGGTCAAGTTTAACAGTTGAGATTGCTGAAAGATGTAAAGGAGATAATATATGCAAAAGTGCCTGCTATACAATGTGGTGTTCATGAGTATTTATTGAATTACAACCAGAAAGTTGTTATCTTCTTTTCCTTATCTGTATAGAAGGATAATAATAATGCCTGCTTCATTGAGTCAATGTGAGGATTTAAATGAGAAATACATGTAAAGTGCTTAGAGCAATGTCTAGCATAGTGTAAGTACTCAGTAACTGTTAACCATTATTATTATTGTCATTCTTTCAGCTTCATGCTACGACCTTCACTTTGAGATAGCACCCACAGATACATTCAGAACAGTTTTAGATTCACAGCACGATTGAATGGAAGCTACAGAGATTACTTGTATGTGCCCTACTCCCACATACACACAGCCCACCCCACTATCAACATTCCCTACCTGTTGATGAACCTACATTAACACATCATTATTATGCAAAATCCATAGTTTATGTTAGGGTTCCTTCTTGGTGTTGTACATTCTCTGGAGTTTCTGCATAGTTACGACATAGCATTTATATTTTATATGTGGTTATATAAATGGACAGACAGAGCATTTATTCATCTAACAATATAACATACATATTTTTCTATGGTGTATTCATACATTGTCTTCATAACTATGGTTTTTTTTTATAGGCCTGCTACATGATTTTTTTTACTCCTAAGATAAAAAAATGCATTACAGAGAGTTAGTTTAATAAAGGAAAACTGATTAGACATAGTGGTGGCAGTCTGTAGTCCCAGCCACGCAGAAAGCTAAGGTAGCAGGCTCTCTTGAGCCCAGGAGTTTGAGACTAGAACATAATAGAGATCTTGTCTTAAACAAACAAACAAAAAAACCCAGCCATGGGTAATAAACATTAAAAACCAAAAAGGGAGATTGTTCTTTGCATTATGTCAGTGTGTCAGTTCATTTGCTGACATAACTTTTCTGTGCTTCAACTTTCTTATCTCAAATGCAGGGACAGGAAAAGGCATAAACCCTGGGAAGGCAGTGGCAAGATAGCATCCCTGGATTGGGTGAAGGTGTTGGTGTTAGGAGATTCAGGTGTTGGGAAATTGTCACCAGTCCATCCTCTATGCCAAAATCAGGTGCTGGAGAATTCATCATGGACTGTGGGCTGATCGGTGGATGTCACAGTGTTATTTTAGCACACGACTTAATAATAAGAAGTCATCTCAAAACTTGTATCGTTGGTCATTCATTGGAAGGTCTCAACAGGGGTTTGGTGCCAACTGGAGTCTTGGTGACAAATGGGATTGCACAAATCCACAATACTTAGTTGCAGGTTCTTCCAATCCTGTCAAGCTCCAGTAGGTTTTTTGATAAGGTCACAAGAGAAGAGATATTTTTTTAAGACAAGGTAATCAGATTCCAGGCTTTCCTGATAAAAAAAGATTTGGGGGAGGAACATTAAAGAACTTGCATTATGACTTAATTATACCCATCCTTTGGAAGAGTGAGCAGTTTTTCACAGCTTTCCTCTTGCTATGTCGATTATTAATGTCTTTTAACAAAATCATCTTGAAGTGCTACATTTCAGCCTCACCCTTTAATGGAACATGGAGGAAGTGACAACATAGGAGTCCAAACTTTGCCCCCATTCTCTCTGTTCCTCACTTTTCTGTCCCTATTTATAGATAATGTAAAAGCCCTGTGGAAATATGAGATGTCAAAATGATGCAGTAAATGAGCACGGATGGAGAACAAAATAAAAGGACAACTAAGGACTGTTATCTGATCCTTAGAACTATTTGCAAACTTTAAAGTTTTCTTTAAAGATTTCTATGTAGAATGTTACCACTACCGTGGAGATATTAGTGACCTCTAGTCTTTTTACCCAGGGCTTTTGCATCTTGAGACCATCACTTAGTTCCTACATTTGTTTTAGAGGAAAAGATTTCACTCACAAGGAAGCAGGGGAACTTTTATCTAAGAAAAATGGTCAGAAGACCTAGGTTTCATTTGTGAGACTATAGGAATTTAAACAGATTGGTTTAGAATTTCACTAAGGGATAAGATCGAATGCAGTAAATGCAGAGTGAGTGTATTAAAATATAAACATTTGGGTAATATAAGATTGATACATTTAATTTAGTGTTCCCAAAGGGGGTCTGTGGTAAGAACCACAAGGAAAACAAACTATAGAGCTGTCTGGATTTTCATGTACTTCGGTTATGGCTATTAAAGTGTCTCACATTTAACATTTTTTATTGTTGCTGTTGGAGCTAGTCCTGTCTAGAGCAGTGGCTTACACTTAGTAGTCATTTTTATGTTTTGAGTTGGTAAATGAAACTGTCAGCAGTCTACTGGTTCAGTGTCTGATTTCTTTAAACTATTTTTTATTTATTTTCCTTTCAGTTGTCTTTAAATCACAGTAAACCGTGATGTAAAGGGCATCCAAGATTTTTACATTGGTTTTTATATGTAAAATGATAAGGACTCATTTAATTGATCCCTATTTCTGCAGAATAACTGAACAAGGATCCCTTGTGTATTTTGTCCAGACTGTATTACTGTATTTGTTAACTGGACAAATGTGTTTATCAACAGCTAATTCTGTAATGTCTTACTGTTTCAAACTTTATCTTTAATTTCCCATAATGCCTAGCTCAGTACCAAATACATTGTAGATGCTCGAGAAATACTTACTGATTAAATAAAAGAAATTGGAGACTGTTAGCACATGTGGTCTTTTTATTGCTTTGTGCAATGTTTTTTTAGAGGTGGGCATGAAGGAGCTATTAATATTTTTATTATAAAAGTAATACAAACTCTAGCTTTATTAAGAAGTATGCTGATTTATGAATGATTGATTTTTCTTCTTAACCTGTTTTCAGATTTCTTCTTAAAGTATAAGTTATAGTATTGTAGAATATATGTATTAAAATACTTTCAGTAAATATAATTTAGATGAGTTCTTAAAGTTGTATTCCTCATATTTAAACATTCCATTATATTCGGACAGTGTTACCTCAGAAATACACATAGTCCCATCTGTAATAGTCATCATTCCTTATGATGAAGGATTGAGGGAATGTGTATTTCCAGAGAAGCCTGGGTGTATGGGTATTCTCATAGTGCATTATGTCCAACAGGTACTCAGTAACTATTGAATGAATGGTTCAGTGCATGCAAACCTGCCTACCATAGGGTGACATTTGTTCTGATGAAACAACTGGCCTTTACTTAACCTTTACACATTCAAACATCCTCTTCCTTCCCTCTTTATTGTTCCCTGCATCATACTGGCCACTTATGAGTGCTCTTTAGTACGCCTACACTTGTCCACTTTCACCAGTTGAGTCATTACCTTCAGAGAGTCAGTTGTGTTTATCCCAAACTTGTTTATGCTGGTTTTACTTGTTATTACACTTACATAATTTAATTAAATGTTATTTTAACCAATGAAATCTGAGTATAAAAATAGTTGTTGGGGGGATGAAGAGAGGTTGGTTAATGGGTACAAAACTACAGTGAGAGGGAATAAGGTCTGGTGTTCAATATCATAATAGGGTGACTATAGTTAATAAGATTTATTGTATATTTCAAAATAGCTAGAAGAGAAGATTTAGAATATTCTCAAGACCAAAAACATGATAAATGTTTGAGGTGATAGATATCCCAGTTAGTTACCCTGATTTGATCATTATATATCGTATGCATGTATCAAAATATCCCATGTATCCAGTAAATACATATAACTATAAATATGTACAATTATGTATCAATTAAAAAGATTGTTTTTATGAGAACTGAGTAAGTTTTGAAAAACTGAAGAAAGATGAGTTTTTAAAAAAAATACTGTTGCATTAGACATGAGTGAGATAACTGAAAAAGGTTGGAGGGGTCCTGAAAATTTAGGAGGATTCTGAACTCAGATTGCTTTGCAAGTCTCTGAGTTCTTTCACCACTTTAATGAAATTGAAACTGAGAAGTGTAGACAGTGCAGTAATGACCAAATCCAGCCAGAAGATCCATACTCAAACAAAAGGCCCTGCCACAAGAAATAGCTAATAAATGTACTTTATATGCTTCATGTTAGAAATAAAAGATTATCTCTTTTTATGATTCTCCACTTAAAAAAATCATCTTCTTTCATTAGTAGACTAAGGTCCCCATGAGGTAAAGAGGACTTTTGCTGTTCTGTGATCTTTCTTAACTTGTAAGCCTTTTAAAAAATATCATAATGATAATCATACTGTTGCAGGTCATAATGGTACATTTAACTTGTATGAGTTCTATTTGCCTAAGACCTACATAAAACATGTCCTCAGTGTATCTCATGTTAAAACCCAATTCTTACTATGTTTCCTTTACAGAACATTCAGAAGATTCTTGGCCTTGCCCCTTCACGAGCTGCCACCAAGCAGGCAGGTGGATTTCTTGGTCCTCCACCTCCTTCTGGGAAGTTCTCTTGAACTCAAGCAAGAACTCTATAATTCCTGTTCTTTTCAGATACTCACATCAGACTGGCAACTATTTTGCAGCAAGAGCCATAGGCAGCCTTAGCACTTGGGCCACTTTCTAGTTTTGAGTTATTTCCAGGCCTTTTGAATATGATTAGAATGAAAATAGCACCCAACAAATATAATATGCTTTTAGTCATAGATGATTTTTTTTTAAATAAATGGGTTGATTAGTTAAGTTCAGGTGATGTTTCTGTAATGAGAAACAAATAGCATCTTTCTTGTTTTACTTATATAAATGTTTTCTGTGGGACCGACTCTCAAGGCTGTTGTGTGTACCATGGAAGCTGGCTTTCTATGAACATTTAGATAGCTAGAAGAAAAATTTTGTTTGTATAACTCTTAATTGGAGCTATTGTATTGTTTTTTTCCAAGCCAAATAATGACTTGAGATCAGTAAAGCGGCCAAATTTTTAGCTATTTTATCTACAAAGAGAGATCTGTTTTGTTCTGTTTTGCCATATTTCTTGATATATGTTTTTAGTAATCTGAACATAAGGATAAGTATTGGCCAGGAAGGGCTAAAATAAAAGTTTTTTAATATACTATACTTTTTGCCATCTTGCTTCATATGCTCAAAATACAGAGTTGTCCTAGTATAGGAATTGGAAAATAAGAGTGGAAAGGAAGCAAGGTTCTAATTATATGTAGTTAATCTTGCAGAACTTCCTTTTATTATAGTAACAATGGACCTCAGTTTCTGCCATGTTCCTCCATAAGGGAGTGGGATCCTTATGCCACAATCCTCACCCATAATCTGTGGAATTAGGAATCTTATGTGGAGTAATAACTCTATCAATAAATAAATTCATCAATAGTCTCCTTAGATGTGAGTATTCTACCAGTGTAAAAACACATATAATTTGCCAAGTAATAACTTAAACCAACAGCAGACTTCTCATCAGCACCATAAAGTCCAGAAAACAGTGGGAAAATATCTTTAAAGTGGTAAGGAAAATAAGTATCAGCTTAGAAAAAAAATTTTTTAAGACCACCCTAGCTTTAGATCAACTTAGAATTTTATTGGGGGGGAATTTTTCAGACATACAAAACCAAGATAATTGAATTATTAAAGGGCGTATTTCAGAAAAAAAAAGACCCACCCAAAGGGGAGGTATAAGATACAAGAAACAATGGTCAACACAGAAATTGATAAAAATATATGGATAAACCTAAGTGTTTTATGGATTATCTAATTGAAGGATTATCTCACGACAACTCTATAAGGTAATTACTGTTCTTACTCTCATTAAACAGATGAGGAAAGTGGGGCAGAAAAGATAAAGTAACTTGCTCAACATCACAGAGCTATTGAGTGGCTGTGTTAGAATTTGAACCCAAGCAATGTAAAGCCAAACAGTCCAGGCTGTTAAGCCCTATGTTACAGCCTCTCTGTAGGTACGTGGTGATGCTCTTCTCATCACCTTCCCTTATCTCTGCAGCTGTAGTGCGTGAACTCTCTAAAGTTGGGCTTTGTCTTTTTGTTGTTGTTGCCCTTTTCCACAAAGTAGTCAACATGAGTGGAAGCACAGCAGAAACTCAATAAAAGCAGATGAAAAGGAAAAATCCATATTTTGAAGTTATTTTCATCAGGATGATGTCTGATGCTGGATGGTGATGACTATTAATGGTCTTTTCTCCATAACTACTCTAACCAAAGTAATAATTAAAAGAATAATTAAGAATCCTAGCATTCTGGGAGGCCAAGGCAGGAGGATAGCTTGAGGTCAGGAATTTGAGACCAGCCTGAGCAAGAGCAAGACCCTGTCTCTACTAAAAACAGAAAAGTTAGCCGGGTGTGGTGGTACACACCTGTTGTCACAGCTACTCAGGAGGCTAAGTCAGGAGGATCACTTGAGCCCAGGAGTTTTAGGTTGCTGTGAGCTGAGCTGACACCGCTACACTCTAGCCCTGGTGTCAGAACAAGACTCTGTCTCAAAAAAAAAAAAAAAAAAGAATGAAGAAAATGATGCTCATGATAACAATGATGACAAATATGAAGGAATATCTAAAATAAGGCATAAAAGTGAAAGAAACACCTGCAAAATTTCTGTCATCACTGTTGTACATGAGAATGTATAGCCCACTTTACCACTCCTACCCTGAGGCTTTGAAGCTGGTGCTTTCTAATCAGACATAAAGCCATCATATCACAAGGATTAAATTCAAGGAGTTATTAAGAGCTACTGCAGTCTTAGAATTACTTTTTTTTTTTTTTTTTTTGAGACAGAGCCTCACCTTGTTGCCTGGGCTAGAGTGCCGTGGCATCAGCCTAGCTCACAACCACCTCAAACTCCTGGGCTCAAGTAATCCTTCTGCCTCAACCTCCCGAGTAGCTGGGACTACAGGCATGTGCCACTATGTCTGACTAAGTTTTTCTATATATTTTTTAGCTAAGTAATTTCTTTCTATTTTTAGTAGAGACGGGGTCTCGCTCTTGCTCAGTCTGGTCTTGAACTCCTGAGCTCAAACGATCCGCCCGCCTCAGCCTCCCAGAGTGCTAGGATTACAGGTGTGAGCCACTGCGCCCAGCCTTATAAATATTTTTTTAAATGCTTTATCCAGAAAAAATTTCAAGACTAGTTATTTGGATGATGCTCTAGATCTAGAGCATCAGTGAATCATTGGAGATGACGTTTCAAGCCGTAGAGGTCTCCCAATGTCTCTCAAACACGATTTGGCTATTTTCCCTGTGTAAGAGATAGATTATCCCCTTTCTAGGAAAAAAATAATCAGCCATTAATATTTACATTAAGCTATTCAGGTTGCATTCATAATATGCTAAAGTAGTAACCTTTTAAAAATGCAGATAAACCTGAGTTTGTTTGTTTGTTTGTTTATTTATTTTTGAGACAGAATCTCACTCTGTTGCCCGGGCTAGAGTACCGTGGCCTCAGCCTAGCTCACAGCAACCTCAGATTCCTGAGCTCAAGGGATCCTCCTGCCTCAGCCTCCCAAGTAGCTGGGACTACAGGCATGCTCCACCATGCCTGGCTAATTTCTTCTATATATATTAGTTGGCCAATTAATTTCTTTCTGTTTATAGTAGAGATGGGGTCTCGCTCTTGCTCAGGCTGGTTTTGAACTCCTGACCTCGAGCAATCTGCCCGCCTCGGCCTCCCAGAATGCTAGGATTACAGGCGTGAGCTACTGCGCCTGGCCTAAACCTGAGTTTATTAACAGATTGCATTGCAAAAGCTAAGCTAGTTTGGAATTTAGAAAGCAGATGTGTGTAGGCATTCATATACCCTTTACCAGACTGTGGTCCCTCTCCTCCCCCGTAACACATCGTCTTCAATGGGGTTAGTGACTTAAAATGACATCAGAGGAATGATAGAGCATCCAGATTCCCCATACATCCAAAGCAAAAGCATTTGCCACATACTACTGTACAGATTTTTTCAAAATTTTTGTCACTTATTTTATATATTTCAGTACTGCCCTTCAAGTAAAAGGACCATACATATACTTTTTCCTTTTTTGGATAAATTTTGCTTAAGTTACAGTCTTTTGTTTTAATTTATTCTTATTTGAGTTTTTAAAAAATCTTTCTAAAATGGTAAAAATTTTAAAATATACTAAAGTAAGAAAAGTATAAAGAATACTCAGGTACCGTACCATCATCCAGCTTCAACAGTTATCAACTCCTAGCCAATCTTGTGTCATCTGTACCCCCACCTGCTTCTATTATTTCTGTATTATTTTGAAGTAAATCTCAGGTATCCTATCATTTATCTGTAAATACTGTGGGGCCTATTTTTAAAATATGCATAAGCTGGGTCCAGCGGCTTGTGCCTGTAGTCCCAGCTACTTGGGAGGCTGAGGCAAGAGGATCATATGAACCCAGGAGTTTAAGTCTAGCCTGGGCAACATAGTGAGACCCCATCTCTACCCCCCAAAATTAAAAATAAGTAAATTTCAAAAATGTGTAATTTTAATATCATTTTTATACCTAAAAAAATTGACAATAATTCCTTGATATCATAAGTTGTCTATAGATGTCAAAATTTTTAACAGTTTTTTGGAATTAGAAGCCAAATAAGGTACCCCTATTGCAGTTGCTTAATATGCATCCTAAATCTCTTCTAAACTATTGCAGTGGTCCTCAAACTAGAGTGCATCAGAATCAACTTGTTAAAAGACACGCTAGGCCCCAGCCCAGAGTTCCCGATTCTGAGGTAGAGCCCGAGAGCTTGTGACTCTAACAAATTCTCAGGTGATGCTGATGCTGCTGGTTTGGGGTCCTCTTACCTATTGGCTCCCTACAATCTGTCTCCCCAGTTTATTTGTTGAAAAAATTGTGTTGTTTACCCTGCAAAGTTTTTCGTAGTTTGAATTTTGTATGCCTGTTTTACATACTGTTGGTTGTCTCTTTTGTGATGTTAGCAGCTTTTGATCCATTAATTAACAAGGTATTAAAAAGATGGTATTTTAATTATAGTATTTCTTCATTTATTAGCTAAAATACCTCTATAGATAGAAACTTCTCTTCATCTATTATTTGGGGAAAAGTGGTCAAGTTTTTTAAGAAAGGCAGAATGAATGTTTGATTCCCATATCTTCAAAATAATGAGTTGTTTACCAAGATCCTCCCATGATATACAATTAATGTATGTGTATCATTAGCAATTCATGGATTTAAACATACCTGATATACTTTTTTGTTTCTTTTTAAAAAATTGTGATAGATTTAAGGGGTACAAGTTGAATTCTATTACATGTATATGTATAGTCTGGGTTTTTAGTGTACCCATTATCCAAATAGTGTACATTGTACCCTACAGGTAATTTTTCATCCCTTGCCCCAGTGATGTGATTTAATCTACTGAAATTATTACTCTTGTGGATGCTCAGATTGTCCCATTTTTGGCCAGTGACAGCCTCTTTAATTTGGCTTCTGAGTCCATTTGCATGACTCTAATTGTCACTGGTAGCATCCTTGCTAAGTGATATAGCAAAGTGTTCCAGGCTTATCTTGTGTATTTTCTGCCTGACCCTTTTTGCTGGGAAATGGTATTTAGAGATTGTAATCAGAGCACTGAGAATGTTCATTGAGACTAAGTTACTAGGTTTCTAGGCCTTTCTGTGGACTAAGGTAATATTCGTTATTGTTTTAATATAAAAGACACCACAAATTTATACTGATACTCAGAGCTACAGAATTTTTACTTCATTTCTTTGGTCTGTGTCTCCTTTATCAAACCATGCTAAAAATTCCAGTTTTCAGCACTAAGAATGATAAGTAGAATATCACATAATTACTCATTAATGTAATCCCACAATATACACCCAGAAGTCCCAGAATATCAATATAAATATTACTACCAACAATATGATTACTTAAAATTGTGGGGTTTTTTTTTGGTTGAGGGCAGTGCTGATTGTGTAAAATACATCTCCCTATGGGTTCACAGTCTTTATTACTGAGATTTCAAGTAATCTGGAATGGTTTCTTTGGGGTTATGCCAGCAGAATATACAATTACATTTATTTATTTGATTTGATTTTCAGTTTTTAGAGATTACTCTTTAATTTTACTTTATAATTATATAATGTTTTGATGGGTTTCTAGGCTAGCTGACAAAAGCATTTTTAACCCACATACAGATGGCACCTAACCACCGATTATCACACTTCTTTTATGGGTATAACCCCATCATGTGTAGAAAGACGGGCAGGTACAGATTATTAGCAGAAACATTTTTATCTAATTTTAAGCCAGTAGTGGGGCTGACAGGAACACTACCTTCAGTGACATTGCCCCTTACTGTTGGGGGGCATACTTGTTGGGTAAAGGAAGGAGACCTAGTGGGAGGATA